AAAAAAAAGCAAACATTTTATAAACTTAAAATTGAAAATAATAAAAACAGAGGTGCTAAATGAGATATAGAAAACAGAAATACAAATGTGTGATACTCAATAAATGTTCCTGTAGCCTGTTATAAATATACCACTTGATTTATAAGTTTTTATCTGCAAAGGAAGAGTAGCTAACTATGTATTAAGCAGATCTGTTCTTTAAAAATCTATGGCTGAGTTTTCAATATGCAGAGGAAAAAACCCCTCAAAAATGTAGAAATGCTTAGCCAACCCTGGCAAGAACTCATTATTTTCAATGTGTAGTTATTTCTTGGAATTTGATCAATAGCCATAAACATCTGCATAAATCACAACATTACAGAGAACAGAGAAACAAGAAGAGAGCAGTGGCAGGACTGTCACTCTGAGAGAAATGGGGACACCTGGGAATGAGCTCATTGTAGTGAACCTTTAAAAGTAAGAATTCAATTTGAAGGGGTCATAAAGGAAGCACTCATTTAGCCCCTCTGTGCTAAAAGCACTCCTTTCTTATTTATTCTTGTGACTGAAAGAAACAACAAAAAACCCCATTCAATATAACTCATCGTTTCTCACAAGCTCCAGACCCACCCTCATCAGGACCATGTGGGGGTGGGTAACTGTAAAAATGCAGATTGCTGACCTACCTCCCAGACCTGGTGAATCTCTCTGTGAAATGTGCCCAGGAGTCAGCATGTTAAGGGCCTCCCCCTACCCCCATGTGACTCTTATGCACATTTAAATTTGAGGACCAAAATAGTCTAACTACTTTGTTCAAAACCAATGATCAGATACCGAGATCACCACTGTGCCTTGCTTGTATATACATGTACATGACATATAACAACTTTTAAATTTTGTATTTTACTTCCCTCTTTTGTCGTGGAACTATACATAGCTAGCTATTTTCTTATAGCTCATAACTTTCACTTTTGTGTATTTTATTAACATATATTAAATATTACTTTTGATGTAACTAAGCGTTACATAAGAATGTGAGTCACTTCCAAACATCACTTACCTTAAAATCCTATGCTTATTCAGAAAGTTCTGAACATATATGGTGGAAATTTTCAAGAAGAAGATATGAAGTGTGTCCTCTGTTTAATTTCCGAATGTTTCAAGGCTGGAGAGGAGACTCCTTAGGTGGACACCAGACATGCCACTGAGAAGGGAAGACAATGCTGAGGCCTCTGGGCACCTGGTTATCTCTGAACAGAACAGAAAAACAAGTAGTTGGTTACCTGAAATTCAGAGTCTCTGTTGTAGAGGTTATTTTCAGTAAACGAGCAGTGTTACTAAATTTAAACTTGGCCTGGGCTTGCTGCTGCCTGATTTAGCAGTTGTCATTTAAAATTTCATGTCATTGTGAAGTCAGAATTACACGATGCTGCTGCCTGCAGAAGATTCAGGTTGAATTCATATTGCTTTAATTGACTATTTTTTTTCCCAAACATTGCATCCAGCGATGTAATTACTAATTTTATTTTTGATATGCAGGTGCTACATTTTGGTGCTGAATTCCTAAGTCAAGGTTGATGAGATCTCTTGGAAATATATTCTTACAGGAGACTATCATACCCCATAAAAAGATAAAACATAATACCTTTCCTAAATCCCCATGGAATCATCAGCTACTTTTGCTATATTTTCTTTCACATGGGTAATGCTTGCCAAGGTAATTAGACACAAATGAAAATAATATCCTTTCTAGTCAATATGTTGCTTACTCAGAGAAACCGAAATTCTAGCATCTTTGCTGAAGAAGTTAAGCAGACTTGGCTAATGGAAAAAAAGAATAAAATACCTATTTTTAAAATTGGTGATCAGTCATACAAATATTCTAAATGGTAGAAGAAGCAACACATACAGATAAATACAAATTCAAACACAAAACAGCAAGTGTCATACACATGCAAGCACAGAGTACACTGTGAAACAGCAGGTTTTTATGGAAGACCCTACTGCTTGGCTGCCTAAAAATTATTCTCAACTTTCTTCTTTTTTGATATGTCTCACAAAAAAGAAAAGGAAATCAAATGTCTGCTCTCCCAGTGTTCCTTTCTTCTTATAGTTTATGGACCAGAATGGGGTTACATGGGTAGGCCTGTTTGGGTTGGGATTTCTATAACCGGCAACCAAAAAAAATCTTTGTAATTTATTTATTTATTTTTATTGTGCATCTCCTATTTCATTCATTTCTACTTCTCTTTGTTCTTAAGTCTACCTTTTTGTCATGATTGGGCCCTATTCCCTACCTACCTTTCCAGGCTCATTTCCCTAGAATAAAGTGACCATTTCTCTCTCTTTTTTAAAACGTATTTTATTATTGAGAGTATTACAGATGTCCCCCACTTACCCCTTTTGCCCCCCTCCAACTATTTCTCTTTTTAAGTACCTCCATTTAAAATATATTTCTATTGATTTCAGAAAGAAAAGGAGATGGAAAGAAATAGAAACATCAATGAGAGAGAATCATTGATCAGCTGCTTCCTGCATGTCCCACACTGGGGATCGAGCCTGCAATCCAGGCATGTGCCCTCACCAGAATGGAACTGTGACCTCCTGGTTCATAGGTTGATGCTCAACCACTGAGCCATGCTGACTGGGCATCCCTCATTTTTTAAATAGCAGAATGCTTAGCACATAGTGGGCATTCAATAAATATTTGTTAAATGAATGTATAATTCCCTTTTAACAACTCTTGAACAGAAACCATTTTGTATTTTTATTTTTCCTGTATACTTTATTTTCTGAATTACTTATAAGTCCACCGACGGCAAAGAAATATCATATTTCTTTGTACCCTGTATGTAGTAGGGGTCCAAAAGGCACTCAATTGTTCTGATACTGACATTTCTACTTTGGTTTGTTTTTGAAGGCGGAAGTTCATTCTCTCTCACAATAGAGTAAGTTATCACTTACCTATAAAGTTAAATAAACAAGGGGAAATATATTATTATGCTGTCAAAAAATGGAAGTTAAAAATAGAAACTTGTTTATGATCACAATTCTATAGAATTTGCACTTAGTTATACAGGAGCTGTTCTGCATGACATGAAGAATTTTCAGATAGGCCTTGAGTTATGAGGACAAGCAAACAGTGTTTGTTTGTTTTCTACTGTCCTATTTGCAAATATTTTATATTTGTCTTTAGAAATCTTTTCTCTTTGAAACATATAAGCAAAAATTCAATACTTTAAATCATTAACAGTTGACATTTTTTGAGTAGAAACTGATTATTTTGAAAAATAGTTACCCCAAGTACAAACTAATCCCTAGTTATTGGATAGTTACCAGAAAAGGGCAAGAAGAACTTCAGAAAGTCAAAGGCAGGCATGGAGTTTTAGCCTATGCTATATACTGCCGTTACCCAAAATAAAAGAAATATTTCTTAGAGTAGCCTAAAATAAGAACATACGCTGGGAGCCTAAAAGCAATGAAGCAGTGGGACTGTGAGAGCACGGGGCAAACCTGGAGGGCACAGGGATACATTTCACAGCGGCTTCGGACTGTGTTACTGTAGCCAGATGTTTCCCAAGCTGGAGAATGGGAGAATTATGATTGAAGGAATTTAGAAGGAAGAGAGGCCAGGACATGGAAGAGTAGACAATACAAAATTTGTGCCTGAATAAACGTCTTGAGCAGGTTTAACTTTTTACTTAAAAAGCAGCTGAAGTTTGCCTAAGGCATATTTATAGAAGAGATCATTGAAATTGGGCTTCTATAGACCTATTGTTCCATTATAAATGTGTCTTAGTTTTCTCAGGGTATTTAATCTGTTAGGAAGTTTCTAAAATTTAAAAAGATAAAGAAAAGGAAAGGAAAGAAATGAAAAAAAAAAGGAACCCCACTACAGGAAATGCATTTCAAGAACGACCATTAATAGTTGTGTTAAAAATCAGAGGGTAAGCTATTTTATAATTAGAGTTTTAAAAGGTATTTTAGACACCTAGTGATTTGTGATTTAATCTTCAACTGCTTTTCAAGAAAAATAAGAAATCCCACCAGGGTACAGTCATTATTTCTTTTGTCCCCCAGTACTTAGGCTCCAAGGAATAGCCTGAAGTAGGACTGTTTACTTAGTTCCCCTTAATATAAGTAAAAAATAAGCTTGACTGCATGGTGGAAGGCCAGGTTATTCTGCCGTGTCTCTATTCACGCTTCTTTTCTGTATAAGGGGAAAAGTGATTTTCAGGTGTATATTTTACTTGCCAATTTTTTCCATTTTGTTTGTTAATATTTGAATCTATTGACGAGATTGTGTTTGCCTCTTTTTAATAAAATTGACTTATGTTCTGTAAATACAGTTCAAACCTTTTGTATTTATTTAAAAATTGATGTTTAAAGTTAAGAGCATAGCCTAGCCAGCATGGCTCAGTGGTTGAGTATCGACCTGTGGGTTAGATGCCACTTTACCTAGCCCCAGTTTGGAGCAATTTCCATAACAGTCCAGTACTAGTATCTTTTGTTTAGTTTGGACTCTTTGAACTTTCCCTTGATAACATTAACAGAAGGAATCATGCTTCATAAATTTTTATGTCATATAGATTGAGAAAAAGTAAACATGATGCTATGCAGTAGGATAAATGAATGTATGAATTTCCTACACTTCTCAGGATAGTTGACCTTGCCTTTCACCAAAAATAAGTTAGTGTTTGATTGTTGTGAAGAGTTTTTGAAACATATTTATAACTTGCCATTTTATATGAATCAAGAAAATATCTCATATCATTTTAGCATAGGTAGACCTATTATTAAAGTCATCATATAAAGTATGTGTAACTCATTTCCTGAGAAACATTCTGAGAAAACAGCATTGATAACATGGGCCCATTGTTAACAGTGTGGAAGATAGAGATAGTTAAACATTTCCCATTCTTTGACATCTATCTTTTCTGCATGTGTATGTCTGTTGAACCCATCAAAGTTTAAAATATTTCAATTCAGCATAAAATTGCAGTACCGATTGTTATGTGGCATATATTTTATCTTGTGGAGGGATGGGAAGTGTATTTAAATGCATCATGCCCGTGCTAAGAAGTAATGCAAATCTTCTGTCTTGCCAGTGCCAGAAATAAATGAAAACGATAGTAGATCAAAGCTAGAAACATTTTTCTCTTTCGCACTTACGCAAAATTTTGTATGTAGTGATCATCATCATGCCTTAAGCAGCCTTGGTGAGCCAAACATTCTACTGTGGATAGAATGTTGAAGGGATAGCTCCTACCTTCAACTCTTATTAATCAAAATAAAATAAAATACAGTTTAAAGTAGTTGGGAATAAAGATTTAACTAAGAAAAACCTCATTAAGTACAAAGATATACTATGAATTATAAAGAGAACTATATTCATTTACACAATTTTTCAAACTATCACAAGTCTCCAATAAGGACTTAGTTACCTAATTAGATAGTTGAATTGTGTGTCTATGTTTGTAAGTGGGTGTTATGTAAATTGTGTATGATTTGTACTAATTATCACCATAGTACAAAGAATAGAGAAATTCATGTTTTAATGATCAGTTTTTGTAAAGACCTGAAAAAACATGCCCATAGCAAAACCCAAGCTTTCCAATGGCCTGAGAGAAATAATTTCTCCCTAAATGGTTTTTAGTTTGTCTATCCATATGAAAAGAGGTAGGACCAAATCAGGAGTCTTTAAACCTTGGCTGTACTTTAGAATATACCTGGGTTTTAAAAACTGCCCATGCCCAGGCCCACATTCTAGATGCTGGTTTAATTAGTGTGGAGTTGGAGCCTCAGAAGTTACTCAGGTATGAGAACATGCAGCCTGTGTTGAGAATCACTGACTATATGTCCTCCTAGCACCTTTGGTGCCTAGGGTCTATGATTCTGGAATTTATAGGAAAAGTCTTTTCCCTTCACTTCCCTTCCCCCCTTCCCTT